CATCCCTTGTGTCACTACGATTTTACCCTGCATATCTCGAACCCCTATTATTCCAACCATTTTCCCTGGTCCCCCGGGTATCTCACTGACTTGAGAACACATCCCTTGTGTCACTACGATTTTACCCTGCATATCTCGAACCCCTATTATTCCAACCATCTCACTGACTTGAGGACACATCCCTTGAACTTGCGTCACTATGATTTTACCCTGGGTATCTCGACCATTATTTTAAACCTTTTCCCCTGATCACATAAAGGGAATCCACTGTTATTTTTAACGATTAACGCATGAATGATTTAACAATGGCATTGATGAGTGACACTTCTGTTGGTTTGTTTATTTATTTATCTATTAAAACCACATGTTATTTACCTTAGCGTTTGGTTTCTCCATAGATACCTTCTTGATAGTGGTATCGGTGGTGCGTCCACTGACGGCAGCTCTACAGGGCCAATCTCGGGACCCTCGTTCAGAGCCAGACGGAGCGAGGGTTCAAGTATGCGAAGAGCAGGAGTGTTTCGAGGGGAATGTAGTCTGCAAGAAGATAATATGGAAGATGAGTTAGAAAAAACGAAAGTTGTTCGCGCTTTCTGGGACTTAAGACAAGAGGTTCGTGTAGGACATAGTCTTTGTGGGAGTATTATTTTTCCCGTTTTTTAGCACGTGCTATTCCCTTGAGTATTATTCACTTGTTACGAGTAACGCTTGAAAAAAAAAAAGAAAATGGACATGTGTTCCTACTACCTACTTTAACTTTATCAAACCCTTTATGAAACGACCTCTGGGATTAACTAACTCATTACAGCTATCTCACAATTGGAATTTAGCATGTTGGGCTTTTGTGGAGGGAGAAAAAACGAAGAAAATCCCTCAAATCAAGAAAGAGAACCAACAAACTCTACTCACATGCGATGCCGAGTCCAGGAATCGAACTTGAGACCCCAGAGGTGAGAAGCACTTGAAATGTTAGAATAAGTATGAATTTCTTTTCTTTGTACTGTTTTCAGGTTGCAGTGCTGTGTCATCTCCAACATCCATGTGTCGTCAAACTACTGGGTGTCTGTCTTCATCCACTGTGCTTCCTCCTTGAGCTAGCGCCACATGGAAGCCTAGCGAATGTGCTTGAAGAGATGACTTTAGGAAGAGAGAAAGAGAAAAAAGCCATTAATCCTGTCAAATATGAGACTAAGGACAGTGTACTTGGAAGGTCACTGACTTACAAGATCGCTTATCAGGTTAGTAAATATTGCTCTGTGGGAATTGTTGGGAGTGAGTCACAAGAGAGCTGGGGCGGTAAATGGACCTTGCCGGGTCACACCATGCATAGCCTCATCCTGAAGCACTTGAATGCGAGGCTACGCGTTAAGAAATCTCAGTCACCATGGCTACCTCTTGAACAAGGTCCATATATCCTGTCATGCCCCACTTACTGGAAAACGTTATCTTAAGATTTCCACTAATCTCTCCAACATATTCCTATAGGTTATCAGCGCACTATGGTATCTCCACGATTCAGACATCATCTATCGAGATCTGAAGGCCGACAATATTCTGGTGTGGTCCCTGGATGAGGATGACTTGATTAACGTCAAATTATCTGATTATGGAATCTCTTGTTTTGCCACGCCCCAGGGGGTTGCGGGCGATGAGGGAACACCAGGATATCAAGCTCCCGAGATACGCTCGGGAATAGGATACGATGAAAAGGTCAGCCAGGCTTGGAAGGGAGGGACCGCTATCAGGCAGCGGGATAGGAAGTTGAATCGACTAACTTTCCCTTCTTCCCTTCTTCCCTTCTTCCCTTCTTCCCTTCTTCCCTTCTTCCCTTCTTCCTTTCTTCCCTTCCCTTCTTATGTATTTTTTTAGATATGTGTATTTGTAAAATTTCTCTTACGCTTGACCTTAAAGAATTCTGCATTCCCTTTGCTTATAATGGAATATACTTCGGTAAAATTCTGAATTCGGATCGCGGTCGAAAAACCTTCGGTTTTGCTTCGGATTGTTGTCGGAACTCAAATACAAACCTTTGTTAATAACCACGAATGTTCTTGAAATCTAAACCAAACCCGTATATCTTAATTGAATTTCATTTTTCAGCGTTTATTTATGGCTTCAAGGGCACACTTGCATTGCGTGAAATTTAAAACGCCACCTTCCTTCGCTGAACTTCTTTATTTTATAGGTCGATATTTTCTCGTTTGCCATTTTCCTTTACGAGTTAATTTCCGGTGTACGGCCATTTCGAGACTTCAGAAGCGCCATCGACATCAAAAAAGCCATCCGTCGTAATGTTCGTCCGTCGCTGGAGGACCAAGAAGTCGACAGCCAACTGCCCAGACTGGAAACAGTCATGGTGTCCTCGTGGAATGAACTTCCAGAGAGCAGACCAAGTGCGGACCAGACACTGCGCGAGATGGAGGAACCAGAGTTCCTATGTCACTATCGTATCATGCCTAAACCTGAGGAAGGTGTCTTGGAGAAAATCACCTCTGTTTATGGACTAGTACACTCTGGAACAGGTAGGGACATTAAAGTTGTTACTGTTTAGATAACCTTGAACTCTGTCTCTCGTACCCTTGTAATAGAGAACCTCTTGCTGTGTGGACCTTGCGCAGTGTGGGTGCATGGCATTCGGGGAAAAATAGAAAGGACAACTTTAAAAGTATGCTTAGGATTAGCCTTTTTAATTGTTTTATGATCATACATGATTTACACTGATTGCGTGACAAAACACTGTACAGTCCAAACGCGGACGGCTAAAAGCCTATTTGTATGAATAGGTTGCTATCAATAGACGTCACTGCCGGTAATAACTGCTTGTAGAACCTTGGAGGTTGTTTGATCTCTTGTTTTCTGGTTTTATGTCGTAGATATTGTCAAATACAATAGTTTGAGGACTTATTTTGACATGTTTTAACATCCGCTAGTTGCCCCTCGGTCAACCGCTTGTTTGCACCAGTTAACTCTAAAAAGTCACGTGATTGATAGTAAACAGTAGCTCTAAACGTTCTCCCACTTCTTGTATAGCACACCTTTCTACATTAGTTTGATTTCTGTGTACTTTCTCAATACAGGGTCATTCTCACCAGATCCCAGCGACTCCCAAAGTCCCGGTACGTCAGTTAGTCTGAATAGTTTTGTGTTGCTATGGAGTCGTGAAAGGGATCGCCGTCAGTACAGCATGCTGAACTGTGATACTGGGGTCTTTTATTACAAGGACGAGTCCTGCCCTGGACATAGAGTACTGTGTATGGTGCGGGTCGGTAGCAGGACTTGGCTTGGCACGGAGGTTAGTATAGTTACGCCATCTTAGGCTCAGGTCAACGTCGAACTTTACATGAGCCGAACCTAATTGAAATAGTGGATAATAAAGCGGTCTTCTTTGATGTCCTTAGGTTCTTAGATGTAATATGTGCAGCGTTCCCTTTTCAGACCACGTGTCATTCTCTTGAGAATTGCTGGCTTTCACTCAGCTGATAAAAGTTGTTGAATCTCATTATCTGCTCCAAATGGTGATCAAACACTGACCACCATGTGCTGTCAACCAGAAAGAATCATATTGAAAACTTGCGATTCAGATGATGAATATTCCACACTAGAATGTGTCTTCTCATGCAAAATCGTTATACAAAGAAATGATACTCAAGCGAATGACACATCACCTATGTTCCTCAGAATGAACACACGGCACAGTTACGGTGCAGCGCGCGAGAATACTAATCATCTCATCTTAGAACGATAATATTAACTAAACAATTAGTATTCTTACCCTTTTGCACTGTTCTCCACCAGGGCTGTACAATTGAAGTGTTTGGTAAGCGTTCGTGGCGTCTTCCAAGCACCCTCTGCTCGTTTATTGTCAAGGCACCGGTGCTCGCGTTGCTGACTCAAGAGACAAGGCTTTCACAGGGTATCAAGGTACTATCAGTAATTCTAGACCACTTAGGTGGCAAATTATTCTTCTTGGTACTTCAGCAATAAAGTGCTCTATATTGACGACTCTTAAAACTCCAGTGTATGCGGGCTTAGCCTCACTTCTGAGGTCAGTAAACAAAAGCAGAAATTAGAATAACGAAACAAGCAACTCCTGGATTCCAGGCTAAGCCTGCATACACTGGAGTTTTAAGAGTCGTCAATAGCCAAGATCGCATGAAATTTTTTTATCAAACTCTGAAACAACCTCTGTGCTGATCTAAGTCAGGGCATGGCTAAGTCACAGATCGAACCCTGAAACAACCCCTGGGCTGATCAAAGTCAGGGCACGGCTAATTCACAGATCGAACCCTGAAACAACCTCTAGGCTGATCAAAGTCAGGGCATGGCTAATTCACAGATAAAACCCTGAGACAACCTCTGGGCTGATCTAAGTCAGGGCACGGCTAATTCACTAATCGAAATGGAATTTAGCTTATTAGGTTTTGCAGAGAAAGAAAAGCTGAAGAAACGCCTAATGTTATTTAACTCGCTCGTTCTTATTTTATTTTCAGAACGCGACCAAGGTGGACCGTGTATACGCAGCGTTAGCAAACGGCACATTGATCGTTTTTACTCACGAGAGCGTTGCCACCTCCAGCCACACCCACGATGACGTAAAGCGGTTCTATGACGAAAGCGATGACGCCATATCTCAAGAGATTAAGCAATGGAAAGAAATTCAAGTGATCAACTTGGGACAGAGCAGTAATCCAGTCAAGAGTATGGTGCTTACCAAGGATAACGAAGAGTTGTGGGTTAGTTGCGGTAATCAGATTATCGTGTTGAACACACACACTCTATCTATCGTCAAGGAGATTCCTGTGTATTCGTCACAGCGCGCGCATGTTCGTAAAATGGTCGCCTGTGATGACCGTGTGTGGAGTATTGATCGACGCTCCACCAAGATTCTTCAGTGGGACGTACGAACGCACCACTTGACCCACGTATTTGACCTCGAGGTCGATAACCCAGTCATGAAATCAGTTTGCAAGCCGTTCTGTGAGAGGGAAGGAGTAGACATTGGCGAGGAAGATGCGAAAAGACAAGGTGATACAGTGCCGAGAACGTGGCGAAATAGAGCGGATACCAATAGGCCACCACCTTATCCTGGCAACGGAAACACTGCAGCAAAAACAATAGTTGACCGTGCTTTAGGCGGTGAGACGCGGTTGTCGCGCTCTGGTGCTCTTAAGAGCCGGAGTTCCGCACCGTTACCAATCAGCTCAGATGGTGTCCCTAGTGAAGTAGTTGACAAACTGGCCAAGATGGAACCTGAGGAGTCTTCCTCCTTGGGACTTAAAGCCGAAGGGGATTCAAAACTAGAGTCTTCAAGGTCGAAGACAGGAAGTCAAGCTGAAGTGACAATGGCGACAGACACACAGAATAAAAATGTGTGCCCTGCAGATGAAGATAGTTTGCTCAAAGACAACCTTCAGGAAAATGACTCCAAAACGGAAAATAATTACCTTGGGACGTCAGTTGACAGTGGCTGTTACTCTGAGATATCAATAAAGAGCGTTGATTTGAAGGCTTTGAACGACGCTTTAGTCATTCTGTCTGATGCCAAAACGATACCAGAAGAAAAGGAACAGGATTCCAAAAACAACAACGACGAAGCGACATTCGAGGTCGTGAATCGAACAGAAATCGTGATAGAAGCTGCAAAAGAGAGACGAGAAAACAACCAATCTCCTTCCATAGAAGCAGCGTCCATGTCATCGCTCACTGCCAAGCCAAAGTCACTTTCCAGGGGCCCCTCCCTGATGAGATCAAGAAAGAGAAAATCTCTCCGTCACAGCGATGTCCCAGCTTCATCGAAGGAAACGCGTAATGAACCTGCGAGGCCTCGTCTGCATGTCCTGACGGGGTCAGTGAATAAAGTCATGGCAGTTCTGCATACGGGTGGTACTCTGTGGGTCGGGAGAGGCAAGGGTGACGTGATTGTCATCAATGTTGATGAAGAATCAAACACGTATTTCTATGGAGAGGTCATCGCTCAACTTAAGTGCGACAGCTTTCTTCGTTTTAATTCTGGTCAAGTAGATGAAATCATTCAGTCAGGAAACAATAAGGTTAGTAAAGAAAATCTAATTCATTTATTGTTAACTACAACCCAGGGAGAAACTAAATGAAAACTAAACGTACAAGGAATTGTCAGAAAAACTGGCCCTTTTTTTATTTTGCTTTGCTGTTTTTTCGCTCAATTTATTCAAAAAGTAGAGAGAGCTTCTTCTTCGAGCAACAATAAAAATTTGCTGCGCGCGCACTGGTTATACATACATTTACTCTGCAACTTGCAACGCATGATGCCGCGGTACCATTTGGGTGATTTCATTACTCGTATTACCTCATCTTCACTGCTGAATTCCTTTCTTTTCGAAAGTTCTTTCGTTCTTACAACCAAAAATTTTAAAAGCCTTTTTAGTGTCCTGGGACTGTAAAAGAAATACATAACCACCCGCGATAAAAGCTACCTCGTCTATTGACACCCTTATCATTAAGAGAAAGAGAAAATGCTTCAGTGAAGGTGCGCAAATCGTAAGATCTTCTCTCACCAAGATTCTTTTTTATATATTAGACTTAACAAAACAAAAATTCTGTTATAATTTTTTCTTTTAGATTGTCTGTCTTCGACGTCTAGAACCAACGCGCCTGCGCAGGCAAGAAGCAGCCAACAAATCGGGTCAGTTCCCAAGCTGCCAAGACCCATCAACTGAGCGCTACCAACTGATAGTGTGGGAAGCCTGGGGACGAAGAGAGTTTGAGAGCTTTAAGTCGTATCTTGATAGGTTCAATGATCTTGTTGACCAGTGATGATATAAGGAATACCATGATCACAATAGCATATAGATAACAAGAATGCTGGTTACGTTAGAAGTGATGACCCTATGATGAGAATGACTTAGTGATGACAATGACGATTCATGTTGATGATGATAATGACAAATATGATATGATGGTGATGGTGATGGTGATGGTGATGGTGATGGTGATGGTGATGATGATGGTGATGATGCAAATGGCGTGGTGTCGACGATAAGGATGATAATAATGGTCACCATAGTACGTTTTTAGTTTAGTTTACAACTTCTATTGGGTGTCAATCAGGAAGGAAAATTACAGAACCAACATGCTACCCAAAGCGGAAAGTGCGAATGGGACTCTATGTCACATGCTGGGCATTTCCTTTTGACTAACGACATTAATGACAATAATGACCTCAAAAAGATGATAATGAATGAAGATTTCCAAATAACAGCAGCCTGAAATATAAAGATGGTTCTCGCTAAGAAGATAATCGAATCACTATAACTTAGTGTAAGAATAATACTATTAATAGCACAGATATATTTGTAATCCATATCGTTCGAATGTCGTCGTTCAAAACGTCATTTTCCACGATTAATTTCAACTCGAGTCTAAACGACCTCACAAGTTTTAAAATTTTACAAATTAAGTATAGAGTTTTATATGAATTTATATTAATGTTAGAAATAAAAAAAGACCTTATGAAACTAAGTAACCGTTTACACTTATTTCAATAAAGTTAGTCACCTGAAAAGCTAAAAAGCTGATGTCGACAAGGATCATGGGTAGATTCATTTGATACGTTCAACCGCTTGATAACTGTTCATCGACTTGTGAATCTTTTACCGGTTACAGTCTCACCTCTTCTGAGCATCATCAAGCTGCAGTTTGTATTAAAGCAGCTTTGTATATAAATGCTTTTTTTGATATGAAAAGTTTCCCATGATGCTCAGTGATCTCAGCTTTCTAGGTTTTTGTTGACTAACTTTATTGAAATAAGTGTATGTAGAGGGGAACACTTACGCATACGGTATTTATAATTATCATAACTTTAATTTTTAAAAAATATTTAGAAGTGTTAGCAGCGAGAAATCAGATTACTTTAAGTCGAAAGTTCCCCTCTCCACCCCTATCAGAAATCCTTGCGTCTACCCTGTTTTCCGTAGATTATTTATATTATTATTAAATCTAGTTTGTAAAAAAAAAAAAAAGAAAGAAAAACACAAAATTAATTATCAGTTTTTAATAAAAGTTTTTATTATCCAGTTAGTGTTGACTAATTTCAAGCACTTTCTTTGCTGTCTCTATGACACTGTTTCATTTCGTATCGCAGTGTCCCTGATAAGTTAGTGGAATTTCTTCATGTCTCCCATTAAGCCAACTAAGGCATTTAACTTTTAAAGTGCCTACATTCTACGTGAAGCGAATAGTTGAATGGTGAAACGTTTCTGCATTTGAGTGTTGCGTCTTTAAGTTATTAAGGTTTACAGTTTTGGCTGTGATGTCATTCTGGGTATTTGGGTGGATTTGTTTTAAAGTGTAATACTAAACACAGGCCATTATGAAACACCAAATGTACACTCAATTGTGTAAACCATGAGTATGATTTTAATATTTATTAAATAAATTTTGGCTTGAACAAGTTAGTACTTATATTTTTAATGAATACTCAGATAACGTCACAGCCAAGAGTATAAACCTCGATATCTTCAAGACGCATCACTCAAATCAGTTTTATCATTCAACTATTCATGTAGAATCAATACTGAAAGTATTGTCTCAGGCATTAGGGGAACTTGAAGTTTAACTCTGTGAGTGAATTATTCAACTTGTTAAAACAGATATTGTTGGGCACACGTCTTGCGAGGCAGTCCAGTATTCTACAATTGTTAGGAAGTATAGTTTACGGGTGTCCTTCGTTATGTTTGCTTTCAAGTTGTTAGCGGAGGTCCATATTAATGGCATATTTCGAGAGGATCAAGTGTGGTCACAATAAATGGGCAAAAAAGACTCGTATTATGACCTTGATGACTAGACTAGACTAGACTTACATCCTGTGATGACAGATTGGTGCAGCTGAATAATTTTTAAACAGTTTTTGCTTGAATTTATCGACGTCTGCCAGCGTTTGGAAAGAGCCATAGAGAGTTGTTAAGTATTTTTTGTTTGCGCTTTACGTCATCGCCGCCATGTTGATGGTATTTATAAACAAATACGTCCTCTTTAGCCTCCTCTATTTATTACACCAACATGGCGACCATCTCTGGCTCTTGGCTCTTTCTGGAATGTTTGCAAACCAACTATTACCAACACTACGGTAAACATCCGAGAAGCGTGGGCCAAGCTGTCGCATAAAGAAAGAGTGATTATAGTATAAGTGGGTGAGCAACTTAATGGTGATATTTTTACTGCTGTCAAACGTATAGTCTTTGATGAGTGGGTAAAAACGAATGTGTTGGCTTAAATATTCGGCAAGCAACATGACATTAGGCATGTTTATGCGCTAAGGCTTTTAGAATTTGCAATTTGAACTAATCGAGCGTCGGCGATCAACTCACCAAATTTCAGTAGCAGATCACATATGGGGTTGAACTCATTAACGTACCGAGTACACTTTCAAAAACGCTTAGTCACTTCGACGCGGATTTTGTTAAAAATACGACAAAAAGGTATTTTTTCCCCAAAAAGATATCCATAAAGATATCCATAAGGGTTCTTTTGAACAAAGCTCATAAGTCTACCCTGCATGCAGATATCTTTTAATCTTCTGCCTTCCGTTCTGGCGTCTTTACGACGCTGCAAGTAGAAAGTATGAGGATTTTTAAATAATCCTTGCGATTATCCCAGCGTGTACCTTGAGTTGTTTCACCGTGTAACATACTAGCCTTGTCACACTCTTTCGCCAAGAACGTTTCATGAACACGTAGACATCGACTGAACTACTAGCCTGCGTGCAGCTGGACGTTTCTCTCTTTTCTCTTAACAGTAATAAGTTAGAGGCCGGCTGCACGCAGGCTACTGAACTACTATCCCGAGGCATGTTTTACCATGTCAATAGGCCACTTTCCCCGTTATTCACCTAAAGTTGCAAATTGTCACTTCGACACCCCTCGATTGATAAATGGATTTAGGACGGTATTGAAGTGCAGCGAATAAAGCAAATGCGAAGGCGACAAAAAACTAAAGACATAACCAACCCACACTTCCTGTTGCACGAGTAATCCATTCAGAGGGTTGTCAAGTACGTATTAATGTTATTCGAATATATTTTGTCTATTTAGTGCAAATATCGTCATCTTGTCCATATGATTTCCTAAAGAACCAGATGTACTTCAAAATATGTTACATTGAATATTGTTTTTTTTTTCCTTTTGTTGATAAGCAGCTGTTTTTGGAAGGTTTCATATTAACTGGAAGGCTTCCCTCTTAATTCAAACCATCAAACGATTAGAACCGCAACCAACTGAGGACAGTAGGTATCTCGCAAAACACATCTGTGTCTATTCTGCGCACTCGATATTTCTTTTAGTCAAATATATCGTGTTCAATCAAACCAGCAATACTTTTCCGACGTCTGAAGTAAGCTCAGTAAATTTGTTGTTTAATAACTTATCGTCGATATACACTTGTTTCAAAGGCATTACTTGTCATGTGTTTTACATGGCATCATGTGATTGATTGAGGTACCACTTAGCTAATCGCATGAGTAAAAAATGATTTCGCTAACGTTAAACTTATTTTTTAGAAGAAGTAAACTCGATCATTAACTGAAGCGATGTTCAACTTGACTGTTTATCGAGGAAAACCGCAATGTTATGTTCCTGAATTGTCTTCAACCTTTCAGACTCAATATCTTCATACATCGCAATCAGTAGCAATTCCACTGAACATTATTTTTGCTCTGTTTTCCACTGTTTTGAACGCCCTGGTCATCATTGGCGTGCTGAGCAAGCAAAGGCTTCGAACACCTTCAACAATCGTTCTCAGCAGCCTCAACCTAAAAGATCTTTTCTTGGTGCCTACGCTCCAAGTTCTTTCTATCTATCAGTCATTTCTTTCCATCAAAACAGGAAATTTCTGTTCAAGGAGTCTAATACACGTGGCATGGCTATTCATCGCGATTTTGTATCGAGGAATTGCGTTGATTACAATGGTTTTGATTTCTATAGATCGATGTATAGCTATTCGCAAGCCCCATCTCTACCGTAGTACTTTCACTTTAATTCGTGTAGTTATATTTCTGGCAGTCGTGTGGATATTCGGTATATTTTTCAGTGTGACAGCCACTTTCCTCCTCAGTGTTCATCCCAGTGTTTATCTGTTGCTGATAATGTATGGAGTCACAGCTACACTTGTAGCTTTTTTTCAACTGGGTGTCTACACTGGGGTAAAGAAGCAGAGTAGGAGGACTGCTGATATAAGAAGCTCCGTGCACAGACAGCTGACCTTTGAGCGTACGGCTACGACTGTTGTGCTCTATGTGATAATCGCTCTAGCCGTATGTCACGTTCCTTTGCTATCGATGTATATCATGATCAGCACAGGTAAGAACTACATGCTGCTTGGCAAGGCGTGGATGGAGCTACTGCTGTACCTCAATGCTCTAGCCAACCCTTTGATCTGGTTAAAAACCAATAGAAAAGTCAGGAAGGCAGTCGTAGAATCTTTGACTGCTTTTCGTTTGTACTTTGTGAACTCAACGCCAGTCCATTCCCTAAATTCTAATGGCGCCCCAAGCGATAGAGCAACAAACGATACAGCAACAGAGCTGAAATCAACGTACATGAGGAAGGAAACGATACATCGCGATACGGTGAATCCTTCGAATATTAAAGAACCTTGAAACAACCTTTGGGCCGATCTAAGTCAGATCATGGCTAACTTACAGATGGAACCCCGAAACAACCTCTGGGCTTAAGGTAATGCGTCAGGAGGAAAACCTCGAATCAAGGGAGACTAACAAGCTTTACTCAATTCGATGCCGAGTCAAGGATCAAAGCCCGACATCGGCCAGAGTTGAGAGGCGAATGCAAGTTACGTACCATCGAATGATTGTGACTCAACAACCGACACTTTTCGACTTTTAATTGGTTTGGATAGATTCATTAGTTTTAAAAATCCGCTTCACTCTGCGCACAGGAGCGCGCAGTCTATTGACCAATCCTTACCAGCATAATTCAGCCACCAACCCAGTAGCAACACAAAAAGAAATTTATTTGTAATAATCAGTATTTAGTATTATTTCGTGTTAGCCGCGCAATGAATTAATACGGAAATAATAATTATTAGACAGAACGTATAGTCCTGATATGTCGGTAGCGGCGCTCTAGGGAATTGACCTCCTCGGCTCGGGCGTAATGTTTTCCCATTTCAGACCACGTGTCATTTCCTTGAGAATAAGATTCTTTGTTTGAGCTGTATCCATATTCATGTGTCTTCTAATGGGCGACCGAGAGTAAATGTTAAACAAATAAATGATACTCTAGGGAATGACACGTGGTATGCCGAATGGGAAAACATTACGTCAGAGCCGAGGAGGTCTATTGGGGAAGGGAGCGCAGGCCATATATGGATGGTGCGATAGTCTCGTCATGTCATTAGGAACAGCTGCGCAATTGCTCTACCACTCTATTTCTCTTTTCATTTTGATGGAAACATTTCAAAGTATTTACTTAGACTTGAATCACGTCCATAAAGTTTGCATTTGAAATTGTGTATTACATTAAGTTCTTTACTAACCCACTTCAACCACACCACACGAAGAGTGGCCACTTGAAAAACAGTACTAACATTAACTGTACTTACTTTTGACCCCAATTAATCGTTAGTGGTGAGTTGTTTATATTTGAGAAGTCACGATGTCAAGTGCGCATTCATCACTAGGAAAAAAGTCTGGTTCAATAGAACCTACCTCGTAAACAGTGCTTGTCTTTTTTCACGTGATAAAAGCGATACTGAGTCTGATCCAGAATAATGGGCAATACATTCTCGACAAGTGTTTTGATTAATACTAAGAGCTTATAACGAAATAAACAACTTGAAAACAGTTCCAACCTGAGTTGGTCACATTAATCTTAATATTATAACAGTTGCTACGGAAGTTGTCGCTAAGTGGTTGTTACCATGGTGATATTTGTAAATGGTTGCTATTGACATTTGAATTGTTTGCTTAGATTGCCCGTTGCCATTCAAATTTATGAAATATCTGTTATGAATATCGCGTTCTGATTGGTTGGTAGCGCGTGTATTATGAGATTACACAGCACGCGCGCGCACATTCTACGTACTTTGTCATCATTTTCGTATCCAAAATAACGGTTGCTCTAATTTGTATTTTATAGAAGAAATAAAAAACTTGCTTGCTGTGCTATGTGTAGTAACAAAACACTTGGGGATAAGCAGAACACTCAAGAAGTGTCGAGAAGCACTCCTTCGCTACATGTCGTGCTTCTCCTAACACTTGTCTCGTGTTCTGCCAACCCCTGATTTACAACTACACACAGCACACGCGCGCGCGTTTTCTATTTCTTCATTTTTGCGCTAGAAAATCTATTGCCATTAAGCGTTTGTTGCTATGGAAATATTTAAAGAGGTAACTCGTTGCAATGGCAACGCTGTTGCTATGAAGAAATGGCTCCATTAATTGATGTTAACATAACTTGATACTTGAGCTCTTTTATCTTGAAGCTTAAGATATATAACTTGAATAACTTGATAATAATTCAATAGCTTCAAACGCATTGATGAGAGTAATTACTATACATGATAACGTAACATTCGTACATCGTAGTTTTAATCAAGTATATTTCGTAAATTAATAAAGATAACTGACCAAGAATTTTTGAAAAAATAATCAATAATGCCGGATCGACTCTACTATCAATTGACAAGCATGTACAAAGTCGAGATCAATGCTGTAAAACACCGTAAAGTATGATATCTTAGTATCATTCATTGAGGGAGCAAAAGTTAGAGTACCCCCTTTCTTCCGTAGACTACGTTCTGTTATAACTGAAAGAAAGAAAACCCGCTATATCCTGAATGAAAACGCTCACAAAAATAAAATAAGGAAAGATCTACCCGCCATGTTGGAAGACTAGTCTTCTCCAAAATGGCGGCGATATATGCAAGTATTGTTAAGTCACTCGTATAAGCTTGATCCTGAAAGAAATACGTCATATACAGTAGTAATCTATAATATATCCATCACCTATCCAGCTTTATCTATATCTTAGGTATGAGAATACATCGCGTGTTTTATATTCCTTAATCTAAATGTAGTGTCTTTTGGGTGGACGTATAATCGGCATAGGTGCCTTCTTCATTCCTTCCTTTTCTGAACTACTAGATGTTTCTTTCAGAGGTGATAGGATGTCCTTACATCCCGTCTTGCTAGGATCTTTCTTGCACTCAACATATCGACGAATATGGTCTGTTAGATACCCCAGAGGAGAAGATCCTTGTGAAAGAACTTGGTAATGGAATTCCTTCAAGTCGAAACTCTTCCCCAGCTCTTTCGTAGCATATTCTCTGGCTTTCTTGATATCTAGTTGTCCAATCATGTAAGCCGTTGCTTGACCTGGATCGCTCTGATATCGAGTGACTTCTTTCTGGGCCAAGTCTGTCCCGTCCCAGGCTTTCTCGTCGAAGAGCTTCAAGGCCTCGCTCCTTGTCATTCCTTTGTAATGAAGCCCGGTATCGACAATGAGCCTGATGGCACGCCAGATCTAATAACAAACAACTGAATATTCGTTTACAAGTAGTTGGGAGCTGTACCCTCGGTTATGGAGTACAGGGAGAAAGGAATGATGATATATAAATATATGCTATATTCCGAGGTTGAGAAGAAAACTGGAGGGCGCGTACATCCAAGATGGCGTCTATTTCGTCCTTTAAATCTGTCCCAAAATGCACCGCAATGTCAATTCGACCCATGTTTTGTTCTGATATGTCAACAAAATTCTCTGATTTAAAGCTTTCAGTGCCATTAAAAATGCATGTAAGTATTTATGAAGAAGCTCAGGTCACAGATGGTGTGCGCTACTAATGAGCTGCTTCTCACCACTGTTATCGTGTGTTTAATTTGGTTCTCCCATCCGGCAACATATGTAAGTAAGGCCGGCAATTTTTTTCGGCTATTCTTTCGTCTGCATAAATCGACTTTCGTAATACATGCGATTCGTCCATGAAACAAGTTTCACAGGTTCGTAAGGCATGCTCTACCTGACTGTACTATCCTCAAAACACAAGGACGAGTTTTTTTAGAAGTAACAGAAACAAATGCGGCGGGGTCTTTTTTTCTTCTTCTTAATCTTTTTACGTTTCCTACCTGCCACTTTAACATGCCAAATTTCTGCATAGCTTCGTTCTTGTAGGTATCTGTATCTTCAGCGATGAGCGGGTTCTCAGCGTACAACGCCCATCCCTCGGTGAAAGCCGTGTAGTATGTTTCCGAGTCTAACCAAYCAATAGAACCACCGCAGCTGTCTCGGAAATGCTCGATGTTTCCCTGGACCTTTATTCAAGGGAACAAAAAAGAATTAACACAAGAGCAATCTTCTTCTGCAATGACGCATGCGCAGTGGTACGAAGTTAAAATAACGCATGCGCAGTATTGTAAAGTAAAATAACGCATGCGCAGTAATGTTTAGTAAAATAACGCATGCGCAATCAACTAATCAAAAATAATACATACGCAATTTTTCTTCTACAATAACGCATGCGCAGTGGTACGAGGTTAAAATAACGCATGCGCAGCAATGTAAAGTAATATAACGCATGCGCAATCAACTAGTGAAAAAATAATACATGCGCAATTTTTAAGTAATTATGCCGCATGCGTGGTGTTTCCTGACGAATATCAGTGAATGATATATGATTAATGTCGATGTAAAGACTTGCATGTGATACCTGTAAATGATGACCAGGTCTTGCCTCATGAGCATTGACACTCCACTCAGAATACCGAGGACCCATTCTCCCCAAGAAGAACGGTATGTTATAGATTGCACTGCCACTGCATGCTGTCCCGCTCGAGTCGTAGCTTTGCGCTCCACTTGATGGGTTCAGATCCGGTCTCAAATCAACGGGACAGTTGGGTGTTGTGTGCTTTGTACCAGTGAAGTAAAACATTTTGACGATCTTGGGGTCCAGCATGCTCATTACCTGCAACAGGAACGGGTCAGGTTTTAATACGATTGAAAAATTTTGACTGGTTTTCTAAGACAAAAAAAAAAAAAAAAAAAAAAAAAAAAAAAAAAAAAGAAAAAGAAGCGTCTTACTTTTCTGGCCTCTTCAAACCATTTCTGAATAGCTGCCCATCGAGCAGGACAGTACTTTTCAGCACCGGCTAAATCACTGCATTTTCGATGAGCTGTCTCGTCACTTTCATTTTTAGGGATTGGATCATCAAAGTAACTGTCAGACGAGTTAAGAATCTCACGAAACTTTAGGACGGCTTGTGCGCTGTCATTGTGAATTTGTGTCACTTCTTTAGCAATTTCGACTACCTGTGAACACAAGAGGTTTTGGGACATTTTTTATTCCTTTCGTTCGTCGAACTCTGAAGAGATGCCGTTTCTGAGCTTAATTAACGCGGTGCATTATGGTCTAGCTTGGGTAAAAACAACACCATATAAGGCATGATGAACTAAGGATGTTTGTACCCAAGGTAGACCACAATGCACCATATTCAGTAAATGTTTGTCAMTGCAAATTTATCCATCCATCCATTCTTCCATTTATCAATCTTTCCATCCATTCCATCTATTATTCCATCTCATTTGTTCATCCCATTCTATTTCATTCATCCATACATCCCATCCATTCAATCCATCCCATGTTCCTCATACCTTTGGATAAAGAGTATCAAGCATCTTCCACCCTAACTGGTGAACTTCGTCAGCCGTCATGTTGTTGGTGGTAAAATAAGGCATGATCATTTCATATGTTTTATTGCCATCTAAAATCTTATCTGTCAGGGGTAGGGTCGGGTCTGTAGGCCTGGATGTGTTGGCAATGCCGTTAGTATAGACGTATTTGACGGGTAGACCAGCTAAACCGCTGGACACAGAACTGGGGACGCAATGAGGAAGATGTTCTTCCTTCAGATACCTACAAAGATAAAACGAGAAACAACTGTTGTGGAGAAAAACTGATCAACTTATCAACTATTTTCTATACATAGGTTCACTGGTCAGACAAAGCATTCAGTCGAGGTTACAAGGTTCAAATTTGAATAATACTTTGAAGCTAGCCTGTAGTCTCGGTTGAATGCCAACAAGACGTTATTGATGGTTTTCAAAGCCGCCATGTTGAATGACTTAATTTTTAATGAATTCTTATTTTTTTGTTATTTCATTTTCTTGGGAATGATTAAAAATCAGCAATTGATGGTTTTCACGTCGGTCATGTTGGAGGAACTTAACAAAAGAATTGTCGATGAATTCTTTTGTTATATCCTCCAACATGGCCGCCGTGTCTTTTGTTATTTCATTTTCTTGGGAATGGTTGAAAACCATCAATATGTGACAGCTGTCGTGACACTAAACACAGCCGTGACGAGAAGTGTGTGTGACAGCTGAAACGTGTGACAAATACCTCAACATGTTTGTGATTGGCTTCCCAATGTACTCAATCAAATATTCCTTCATAGATTCGCTCACGTTTCGATTGTTATGAGTTTTTTGCCATTCTTTGTTCATATCATCGCTGATCTGCGAGTAATACTCTGTATCCAGTAAAGCTTGAGTGTACCATTCTTTTAACACTCCTAAAAGAATCCAAAAAAATATAAATAATTCTTAATCATTAATACATTAATATTAATCATTAATTAGTTGATCAGTCATCAATTATTCGTTTTTTTCTCATTATTATTAATCAATTGATAAATAATACGAAGGTTTGCAAAGCTAGCGATCACACCGCCCTACAACAAAGGGATATGCGATAGTTACATTTCATAACTCGAAACACGATATTTTGATTGATAAAGAATAAAAACGATTCAATTTAGATATCTTTCTGGAGATATCCAATTGCAAAATAAATGGAAATGGGATTGTTCCCGCCAGTGAACATATAATGTTTTAAAATCTCATTTAACTTATGACTATAGCCGTGGCCTGCCTTGACTCTAATAAGCTAAGAGTTTGTTTCAGGGTTTGATACAATTTAAAGGTTTCTATGCCGATCTGGGGCAGTCTGGGGCACCAGAAAAGATTCAGCCTCAATGAAACTCGAACTGACGAAGATAATATCTATTTCAACGTTTTTCCTTTAAATTAGCTTCTTTTGAAAATTACATGTAATTGATATTTTTACCACCCGGATAGAATGGTTATCTGTCGATTTTATCAGGTCTGTCTCTTACATTGAATCGTAAAACATCTTTATATATATGCGTGCATCTGTCGGAAATAATATCGAACTTAGAACTGAGTTGTGACAATGTTTTGTATAGACAAAGTTTTCCACTCTCATCAATGTCATTCTATATGTTCCAAATCACTTTCGCCTTTTATCGACCAAAATAATTCAATGTTGTTTATCAAGTTTCTTGCTCTGAGCTTTGCTTTATTAGTTTTCTGTTCTTCTATCATTATTTCTTATATAATGTTTTGCTAGTTTATCTTCAATCTCTCAAGGACTTTTAAAATCAATTTGAAAAAATAAAATATGATAGAATATAGACATGACAAACTAAGCCATGAGGAAACGAAATCTTTAGTTGAACTAGAAAATGAATATTTTGATAAGACGAGACAAAACGCGGAGTTTTAAGTTACACGAAATTGCTAAAGGCGCTAATGGCGCATATTCATCACACACACACAAAAAAAAAATACTAAAGCCTAAAACTCCCAAATCCATAAACGATCGGAGAGTATAGCTGTGGAATAAATATATTCATGCAGTAGAGATTAGATATAATTTCACTTTAGTGAAATTATAAGACATAAAGACAAAGACCAAAGACATATATGACGCTATTGTTCAAGAAAAATTTGCAAAGCCTACGGCTCAAAATAACTTAAATAAAAGAATAAGCAATAATCAAACAATCGAGTGGGAAAAAGTGTATGGTAGAATTTACACAACAACGATTGACACTTATTTAAGAATGTTTCAGTATAAGATATTGAACAATGTACTCTATTTAAATAAAGATTTACACCGTTTCAAGATAATTAATTACTCCTCTTGCTCTCTCTGTCACATATATCCAGAAACAATTGATCATCTTTTTGTTGAATGTATAGAATCCAAAAATTATTATTTTGACATAAGGAATTGGTTAAAAGAATTCGATATATTTTTACCAAGTTCAAATAAAATTAACATTATATTAGGGGTGGATGATGAGCTAGTAAATTTCATTATTTTGTTATATAAATTTTCATTATATAAGGCAAGAGAAGCATCAATTACAGCTTTATCCTTACAGTTATTTAAGAATCTCTTAAAGCATTACGAATATATCGAACGAAAGGTGACCCTGAATAGGAACAAAATGAGTCTGCACAATAAAAAGTGGAAAAAATTGAACGATATATGATAATTTTGGTAATATTTTTTGGTAGATGGGCACAGGGAAACTGTGTGTCAGTGTGTGTATATATGTGTGTTTTGAAATTTGTTTAAGTATAATTTGTGTATGTGTATCTATCTAAGTAGGGCAGATTCAAAATTCAAAATATTGTACTTCATGTTTTGCTCATTCTTAATTTATCATACAAAAACATATTGTAAATAGTTATCTATAAAA